ATCGAGAGTGCCACGAATGTAGCGAATGATACGCTTGAGAGCAGCCATATGAGGTTCCCTCGGATCATGCATGAATAGACATATTTGTTGCACAGCATAGCAGATGTCGGGACGAGTAAACGTGAGGTATTGCAGTGCACCGGCAAGGCTGCGATAAAGAGTAGGGTCAGCAACGGGGGGTCCAGTGGTTGAAGACAACTTGCTCTTTGTGTCAGCCGACGTAAGACAAGGGTTGCAGGAAGCCATGTGTGCACGCTCTAGTATCTCGTCGGCGTACTTGCGTTGAGAGAGAAATAGCCCATTCGACGAGCGAGTAACTGTGATGCCGAGAAAGTAGTGAAGATCGCCAAGATCCTTCATTGCGAACTCTTGATTAAGGGCAGCGATGAGCGGAGCAATTCAGGTGTGGAGGCCGTAAGTACAATGTCATCGACATACAGCAGAAGGTAGGCGCATGAACTGTTGCGACAGTCGCGTGAACTGTTGCGATAGTACACAAAGAGTGAAGTGTCGGACTTGCATTCTCTGAACCCCATGGTAGTAATGTGAGATGCAAAACGCTTGTACCAAGCACGTGGTGCCTGCTTGAGACCGTAGAGTGCTTTGTTGAGACGACGCACGTGGGTGGGGCGAGATGGATCGACGATCTGTCCAGCATGGTTCTCTCAAAAACCTCCACCGCCAGTGACCTATGGACCGCCATCTCTTCTCTCTTCACCGATAACAAAGATTATCGACCCATTCAACTTGAAGAAAAATTGAAGTCCCTCAAGAAAGGCGCTCTCTCCATTCACGATTATTGTCAAATAATCAAAACCACGGCGGACAACTTGGCCGGTGTCGGAAATCCAATCTCCGATAAACAACTCGTCCTACAAACCCTACACGGCCTTTTGAAACATTACGGGACCGTCGCCAACCTAATCTCCTTTCAGAATCCCCTTCCCACTTTTCTACAGACTCGATCTCTTCTTCAGATGGAAGAAACAAGAATTGCTGAACCGGAGTAGACCGCTGCTGTTCTCTACGCCTCTAACGCGAACTGTCCATCCAACAGTTGCAACGGTTCATGCAACAGTTCCCGCGGAGGTAGTTCTTCGCGTTATCAGCGCGGGGGTGGCCGATCCAACCGTCGCGGAGGTCGCAGCACTAACCGTCACCCCATGCAGCACTACGGCTACCATAGTGCCCATGGCGCATCTCAACTCTGGCGCGCACCTTACCGACAACCGTCAATTCTGGGATCCGCTCCAAATACATTGGGCCACTCATCCACTCCAGCGGCTCAAGCCTACTTTACTGGACCACCTGAACCCTAAACCGGCCACTCGGCTCCTACTCAGGTTCATCCGCAGCAACAACCATGCCACAGCTCTAACAGTTTCATCAACAGTTGCAACAGTTCCTGCAACAGAGCCAACGTGGTGGATCTCGCAAACCGTTTGAATACGGTGACACTTCAGCAACCTACCGAGTCAGAGTGGTTCATGGACAGCGGGGCGACCTCTTATATGGCACCGCACTCAGGTAATTTCAATTTTGTTTTTAATCCTGGCAGTCATTTCCCCAAACATGTCGTCGTCGGTAATGGTTCCACCCTCCCCATAACCCACATAGGCCACACAATTCTTCCCACAACTCATTTCCGCCTCACAAATGTCTATGTCACACCCAATATCGTCAAACACCTTATCTCTGTTCGAAAGTTCACCAGCGACAACTCATGTTCGGTTGAATTTGACCCGTTTGGTTTTTCTGTGAAGGATCTTCGGAGTCGAGTCGAGATTTTCAGGTGCAATAGCTCCGGTGACCTATATCCATTTAAAGTCCCTCCCCCCATCTCACCTCCCGCTGCTTTCCTCACTGCCGCAACACCTTCATCTCGCACTCTTTGGCATCAGCGTCTAGGCCATCCCGGCAAACACGTCATGTCTCGTTTATTTTCTAGCACTTTTCTTTCCCATAATAAAGACCCTGGGGAGTCTCTTTGTAATGCCTGTCAATTAGGCAAACATTTTCGTCTACCATTTTTTTCTCAAAAATCTACTACTGTTGCCCCATTTCAAATTATTCATGCTGATTTATGGACTTCTCCTGTTTCTAGTTTTACGGGTTTCAAATATTATCTTGTGTTAGTTGATGATTTTACCCATTATTTATGGACTTTTCCTCTTCGAAATAAATCCGATGTTTTTACAACCTTTGTCAATTTTCATACACTTCTCAAAACTCAATTCCAACATCCCCTGAAAGCCTTACAAAGTGATAATGGTCGTGAATTCAAAAATGCGGATTTTCAAAACTACTTCACTAAACACGGCATCCTAAGTCGTTTTTCGTGTCCCCACACCTCCCCTCAAAATGGACACGCAGAACGAATGATCCGCACTATAACTAACATGATTCGATCCCTCATCTTTCAAGCTCATCTTCCTCCTACTTATTGGGTCGAAGCCCTTCATATGGCCACACACCTACTCAATATCTTACCTACCAAAACCACACAAAACCGGACTCCTCACGGAGCTCTTTACCTCATCAAACCTACATACTCTCATCTTCGAGTATTCGGCTGTCTCAGTTATCCCAACCTCACCGCCACCACAACACATAAACTCGCCCCCCGTTCTACTCCTTGTGTCTATCTCGGTCACCCTTCCTCTCACAAAGGCTATCGTTGCCTTGATAGATCCACTGGCCGAATCATAATTTCTCGTCATGTTATCTTCGACGAAACTAACTTTCCTTTTGCGGAGTCCACTCCCCCCAAAAACACACTTCCTCCTTCTGCCTTGGACGAAAACACACCCTCCATGTTCCTCCTCCCTCAGACTTCGTCTAACTGTTGCAACAGTTCATCCAACTGTTCCAATAGTGAACCACCCTCTTCCAACAGTTCGTCCAACAGTCCTATAACACAGCCAACACCTGTTTCTCCTGCAGCACCACCTCTCGACCACGGCCAGCTCACAACCCCTTCTAGTGCTTCCACATCTCTTCCCCTACTCCCACACCTCCCCCACCTCCCCCTGCTCACCCTATGGTGACTCGCAGTAAAGTGGGCATCCACAAACCCAAAGTCCCTTTCTCTCTCGTTGCGTCATCTACCTCTTCCATTCCCACCAACTATCGCCAAGCTCTTCTTGACCAAAACTGACGAAACGCCATGATTGAGGAATATACTGCTTTAATTAAAAACAATACTTGGTATGTTGTGCCCCGCCCCCCATTCACTAATGTTATTTATGGTAAGTGGATATACAAACAGAAACTCAAGTCTGATGGCTCTCTTGAGCGATACAAAGCACGGTGGGTTGTTCGTGGGTTTCACCAGCAGGCTAGCATCGACTTTGACGAGACTTTTAGCCCAGTTGTCAAACCAGCCACTGTTCGAACAGTTCTCAGTATTGCTCTCTCACGATCATGGGCAATCCACCAGCTTGATGTGAAAAATGCCTTCTTACATGGCGATCTCTCTGAAACTGTCTACTGCGAGCAACCTCCTAGGTTAACCTAGTGTCTGATACCATATAGGAGAATTAGGTTTTGGAGAAAAGAGAGAATGAATTATCTCTCACGTATATTAATCATATATATAGTTATTATGTAGGAAACCCTAATCCTAACTACACAAGGTAACCTATTATACAAGGTAACTAGAATAAATAAGAATAATAATAATATGGGTAAATTACAAACACCCCCCTGAGGTATGGTCAAATTACAAAAATATCCCTCTTGTTTGGATAATTACAACCACCCCCTCAACTCCTCAAATTTAGTGGAATCTTCGAGATTATATGGAATATTATCACTTTTGTACCGTTTTATCCCATTCAAACTCTACATTATGAAGCAAGATGATCATAATCTGTGATTTTTAACTTGTATATATCAGTTTGTGGTGCATCGGAAACTGTATTTTTACACAAAACGAGTACAAACTAGAGCACATTTCACGGAATCTAGATGATTATGTTGAATTTGGCACCATAAGGGTGGAGGTGTAAGAAAAAATCATAGTTGAGGGGGTAGATGTAATTATCCAAACAAGAGGGGGGTTTTTGTAATTTGACCATACCTCAGGGGGGTGTTTGTAATTTACCCTAATAATATACGTAATATATATATAATATATACGCTAATAAAAACATTATTATAACACAAATTATATAAATTTAAATTCTCACGAACTACTTAATAGAATGAGATGTTTTATGATTTTAAATTAATTTATGTTGTAATATTTTTTAATTATGCAATAATTTATGAGATTATTGCTTATGTATGATTTTATGATATGTAAAAAAAATTGAGTTCATGTTATTTCATGTTTAGATAGTTTTTTAAATTTGATAACATATTTTTTAAATTATATCACTTAAAATTGGATCTATAATTAATATTTAGGAAAAAAAATATACTAAAATTATGATTAACATTATATTTACAGTTTTGGGGCATACATGATGAAATGTCATGGGAGACTAAACCAAATCCCATTGGTAAAATATTACTCCATCTGTTCCATAATATCTGTCTCTTTTGAGAATTTATTTTGTTCCATATTATCTGTCACTTTACAATTCCAATGTTGCATTAATTGCTTATTTTTCAATTTTACCCTTATTAACTTTGCATCACTCTTCATGCATTAATTAACAAACAAGGGTATTTTGGTCCATCAATATATATTTTTCTAAAATCAAGACATATTTATTGAGATTCTTAAGATTTGTGTCAAGGTGAAAAACGACACCTATTTAGGAACGGAGGAAGTAAGTATTATTTTAATATTTAGTCTAAATTTTGGTGAAATCAATTAAAGACCAAAAACACAATTTTTCACCAAAAATTATGGAAGAGTAAAATAGTATGCTATTGGAGATGAACCCATTTTTTCACCACAAAAAATGTGATTTTGTGAAAAAAATGGTGAAACCGGTTCTAAACCCAAGCCCATCTTCTTGCTAAATCCGTCCGAGTAATCACTTCCCCAAGCGGCGTCGTTTGGAATTATCCCAAATTTCCAATTTTTTTCTTCTTCTCAAAAGCTACGATCTTCGAACCTTTTAGCATCGAATTTCCCCCAAAATCTCTCAAATCTTTCTCCGTCGTCCTGACACCGCCGTCCGCCGTCACCTTCCCCATCGCCGCCGCGGGCCATGACATAATCTCTGAACATTTCAGCTAGAACAAGCGACTGTATTACCGGTATTTACGAGTATTCTTCCATTTCCATTTACATTGCCAGAATTGGGTCATAAATAAGCTAATGCATTTACCAAAAAGCTGGATTATCAATGGAATGATCAAGTTTTAGTTCTATGAAAAAAAATTAATTAATATATAGCCATATAGGAATAGATTAGGTGATTTGGCGTCAATATTTATTTATTAATTAATTTATTTTTCCGCATCGCCTCCTTGAATTTCAGTCTTAAACTATAGGGTTTTGTTCCTTAAGCTCATTATCCAAGACAATTGAGTATGGCATGGGTTATTGTAGGATTTTGGCAAATCGAAAAATATTTCAGTCCATTGATATGAAATATGAATGAGGTTTAGAGATTAGTTCAAAATTTGTTGCATAAGCTATCTGCAGTTGCAGTGGCGGGAATTTGGAATTTGTTACAGGGTGGGCTTAAATTTCCAGGGTTCGGGGGCAGTGGCCCCGAAATTTTTTTGAGGACTTTTTTGTGAACAATCCCGAAAATAAGATAAGAAAAAAAATTTAGAGCTTTTTGTTTTTGCATTAATTTGGATTTTGGGTGGGCTAATTAATAAAAATTGGGGCTTTTTTTGCGTAATTTGGATTTTGGGTGGGATAATTAATAAAATTTGAGTGGGCTAAATTGATTTATTAGGTATATTTTAGGGGAGAGATTATCAAATTTATCGTTTCATCCGATCCAGGATTTTATAGGGTGCTTAAGATGAAAAAAGAAAAACTATTTGCACTGGTATATGCGCAGTGTGTTTCGTTTACAGAAGAAGATAAGAGCATACTTCTTAGTCATTGAAACAATCTCATTCTGCATTGATTTCAGTTATGACAATCTTCAGTTAGCTCGAATTTCTTCCGAAATATTTATTTTTAAATGAAGCATAACAGACCACTAAATTTAGTATTGTCAACTCTTCTTTACAGGATTGATGTTTATTAAAATGTATAAATTCTTCATTTGCCTGTAAAGAAAGTAGTTCTCTTAGTGCTGGCTGCAGTTTTTGGAAACCATGAGTTTTGTTTTCCGAGGCACGCGCGGAGATATAGAAACTGGCTTTCCAGGACTTATTCCCGAGCGACGTGCAATGGTGACTTTCTACTCCTAATTAAACTCTTTTTTTTTTTAAAGCAATGCTTTTTTTTTCCGATTTAGGAACATTTTGCAACTCTCTAATAACCGTTATGTTGTTTAAATGCTCTTCAGCGTGTTCATGCCACCCGACCAGTAAATACAAATTCCCTCGCTTTTCTTGTGACAGGTAGATAATCTCAATTACTGTTGTGTTTCTTTCTTTCTTTATATTCGTTGCATTGTGTAATAATTTGGTTATTTTGATGGTGACAGTGCTTTTGCTGTTTATGATTTTGAACTCGCACCAAATGTCTCCAAATTTTCTGGTTTGTAATTCATTTAACGATGAAATCGACTGTTTTTTTTTTTTTAATAACTGCCATCAGTTGTATAATAATAACACGTAATTGATGAAATTGATTTTTTTTTTATTATTTTTTTTTTCGGGTTTTAGCTGTGGCTAGTGCTGGGTGTATTTTTCATGGCAACGAGTTTGAGGATGTATGCGACTTGTCAACAACTTCAAGCACAAGCGCAAGCACATGCAGTTGCAGCAAGTGGGATTCTTGGCCACACGGAACTGCGACTTCACATGCCGCCATCCATAGCACTTGCTACCCGAGGAAGGTTGCAAGGTCTTAGGCTCCAACTTGCACTTCTTGATCGAGAATTTGATGACTTGGGTACGTTGCGTATCCATGCATGCATGCATTATTTACTATCGATTTGAATTATGTGTTATCCGTTATTTGAAGAATGTTTGTTTTATTGCAGATTATGAAACTTTGCGAGCACTGGATGCTGACAATGTTCCTGCAGCCTCAATGACCGAGGAAGAGATCAATTCTCTTCCCGTTCACAAGTACAAGTTGTCTGGTCCACAGAGGTTAGTACTCGTGCCTTCATTACTCAATATTACGACCGGTAATAGTGCTATATGTTTCTATTTGTCGTTAATTAATTTCATTGTACTAGCTTTTTAAGTAGTTCTTGCTGGTCTCGTCTCTACTTTTTGATAATAATAGATATTTATGTTGATTAATCTGTGTACATTCAGTCTTAATATTTATTTAACTTATTAAATTGTTGGTTACATAAACTAATAATTGTAAATATTCCTTTTTTTTCATCTGAAATATTTATGTTAATGTATACATGTTTTACGAGTTGGAAACAGAACATAGTCAAAGATTTTAGTAAATGTTCTGCATTTTTGGTTTGAGAAATCGTGTTCTTTATTATTTAAATGGATTTTTATTTTGGTCTTTCTGACAGCGTTGGCTCGGCAGTGCAGCAGGCTGCTTCTTCAACCTCAGTTCAGGTATTGTATTTTATTTTTTTGATATTTGTGTCTTGTCAATTCTGTGAGGAATACATTAGCGGTTGATATATCGGGGAATATATTTATAAGATTTTTTTTACTGTAAGATCTACCTCTAACAATTCATTTTGTTTTATTAGTTTCAGATATTTAGATTTATGTTTCATTGATTATCCTTGATCGGCAATAATAAAAATGTCACAAGATCTTATAACAAATGTTACAGTCTTATGTTTCCGTAGTATGTATATATATATATATATATATATATATATATATATATATATATATATATATATATATATATATATATATATATATATATATATATATATATATATATATATATATATATATATATATATATATATATATATATTTGCAAATTTCCCAACTGGGCCTTTTATCTTTTCAAACCTCATTTTTACGACGTACGTGAAAAAGTACAAATTATTATATTTCGTGGTAATTTACTATTTGTATGATCGATCATGAGAGCATGACTGCAGTACAACTTATTCTAAAATTTTCCGATTATTGTCTCCAATTTCCCGAATTATTGTGTCATACAAACAGTTTGTCGTGCTCGGTTGTATGAGAATTTGTACATATCACTCCTGAATGTAAAATATTTTTGCCAGCAGGATGTTTCAAATGCACAAACGGGATTAAAAAGCTCAGATGACGATTTGACTTGTAGTGTTTGCTTGGAGCAAGTTAATGCTGGAGAAGTCATTCGTAGCTTGCCATGCTTGCATCAGGTTTCTCTTACACATTATTTTACCTCAATGATTATTTATTTTTTATTTTTTTATGGTAAATTACGACCACCCCCTGAGGTATGGTCAAATTACGAAAAAACCCCTTCTGTTTGGATAATTACAACCACCCCTCAACTATAAATCTTCTTACACGTCCACCCTTGAGGTTTCAAATTTAGTGGAATCTTCTAGACTATGTGGAATATTCTCCATTTTGTACCCGTTTTATCTCATTCGAGCTCCACATTTTGAAGCTAGATGATAAAAAAATTTGTTTTTTGGCTTGTAAATATCAGATTGTGGTGCATCAGAAAATGTATGTTTGCACAAAATGAGTACAAATTAGAGAACATTTCACGGCATCTAGATGATTATGTTGACTTTGAATCCGCAAGGGTGGAGATGTAAGAAGATTCATAGTTGAGGGGTAGATGTAATTATCCAAAATGAGGGGTTTTTTCGTAATTTGAACATACCTCAGGGGGTGGTTGTAATTTACCCTTTTTTAATGTTGTAATAACATTTGTTTGTGCATATGTTGTTGTTTTGCAGTTCCATGTGAACTGCATAGATCCATGGCTTCGGCAGCAAGGTACCTGCCCAGTTTGCAAGTTTAAAGCCGGGTCCCGATGGTCCGATATTGCTCAACGAGAAATTGATGCTTCGAACATGGTTTAGCTTTCATCTTCTAAACATCAAAATTAACATTTTATTTAATTACGTTACACATAAAATACACGTACATATACGTATAGAGGCCTGATTTGAAGTTCCGGTATAATGTACATGAACTGTATTTTTATGTATATCCTAAAACATAAAAGAGCCATTCAGAATACAGCTCTCTTCTTTTATTAGGCTAACTATCCTGTAAATATTTCTTTCTGATAAGTGTGTGGCTGAATGCGGAGATCTTCCAATCATGGTTATCGAATCGGAAAATATCGGCGTATCGTTCTCCTCCGTGTATTGTATCGTTATCGTATCGTATCGTACGATATTTAACCAACTATTAAAAATAATAAAATATATATATTTACATAATAAAAATACTATAAAAATGTAAAATTTAATATTTTAAAGTCAAACCACTCATTTCTAATTTAAAAAAAAATAATCTATCATAAAATAGGACATAAGTCATAACTGCTCATAAAAATAATATCAACAAAGCTCTAATTTGTAAAAAAAACTAATCTATCACTCATAATTAAGATCAATATAACTTAAATTTTTTTCATCCACCAATTTCTAACATCCTCATGTTAATCAATCTCTTCAACTTCATCAACTCCAACTTTGGTCTTTTCTTATTTTCTCTTATCAATATAAAACTTGGCGTGTAAATTTCCTAGATCTAATATATGTAAAACAAACATTAAATAATATTGAAATTTGTTTCAGGCCTTGATAATGTGAATATTTCGTTTTCTTCTTTTTTTTCATTTTTTTAAAATTCTTTTAATTTTTTTTAATATTTTGACGAATATCGTAAATATCGTATCGTATCGTGATATGGCGATACGATACGATATCTCGCGATATTTAACGGTATTTATGCATAGCCGACACATATTATGAGTTGTATCGTTTTGATTAGGACCGTACCGTCTCACAATATATATCGCGGTATCTCGCGAGTTTAACTACTATGCTTCCAATAACCGTACCCAAGCTTCTTTGTCGAGACGCAATCAGTCGACAGTCTCTCGCAGTCGACCACCATTTTCACTGAAAAGTTCGAGAGACGTGCAAAGAGAGGAAAACGTGTTATTTACATTTCATTTAACTAATAGGGTTTCCGTGTTGAAAGATTTTGAACTAAAATTGATATAAAATGATTCCGAGTTACAGGGATTGAAATTGCTCGAAATGGGAAGAATTTGAAATTCCCCATTATTTCTCACAAAAAAAAAAATTTAAATTAAGAGCTAAGGATTTTAAATTCATTAAATTAGGCTATTAAATTTTTGAATTGGGTGTGTTGAATAGGTAAGAGGGTAATTTTGTCAAGTATCCCACTTTTGTGATGCTATCTGCTAGAAACACATGATTATATCATTTGTGTGAACAAAAAATTGAACTCCAACAAAAAGGTTAAATTGTATGTGGTCAGCTAAAATCAATTGTCCAGCTGCTATGTATACCAACTACTATTGACAACATGTAAATGAAAAACTAATAAAATAATAACTAAAGTAGTGGAAAAAAGGGAACTTCCAACCATAATAATTAATTTTGGGTTGTAATATTTGTTCTCAAGATATGTTTATAATATTTGATTGTTGCTATTTAATTAAGAATTTTTTTTCTAAATATTGTTTATTAACATTGACAATTTGGCATTTTAACATTATGATTTAGAATTTATGTTTAACTCTTTGGCAGATTGTATAATTTACAAATACCTATTATAACAGAAAATTTGAGAAGTAATTAAATATAATAAATGGTATAAATATAGATAGTATGATTGAAGTACAAAATTAAACTTCACTAGCATTTGAGTTTCTAAGACTATAGACTTTCAACCATGGACATGAATAAAGATAAATAAGGGGTTGTCATATTCCAATTAAAAATAATTGTAAAGGTGCTTTAGCTATGAGTGGAAGTCAGACGAAATGGATTGAAAATGTTTTTTTCGGAAAATTTCCAATTTTTCTCGAAAGAAAAACACGGGTTCCAATTTTTGTTCCAAAAAAATTGAAATGCAAAAATTCATTCTGATTTTAGAATGTCTTGAAATTGGCGGAATTTTGAAAATTTTGGAAAGTACATTAGTTTATAATCTATTGTTCCAAATTCGGATTTGATAACAATTATGTCTCTTTCCTCTCTCATTTCACCCTCAAAGGGTGTCAACAATTTATGTATTTGGATGTAATTTTATGGTTTAACATAATCTTAATGGTGTTTATATAGGTGTTTGCAACCCTATAATTCGTCAGTTTTCATTCTTAAATAAATCGGAAAGAGAGAAAAAAAAAAAGGTTCAAACAAGTTAATGTTAATGTGAAATTTTGTGAATATTAATATTACTATGAAATTTAATTTTACGTAAAAGGAAATTAATGTTATTGTGAAAATAGTGTTATTGTGACAATTAATTTTACTCTGAAAATAATGTTATCGTGAGGAAAACAAAATTGCAAAAGAAAATTAATGTTACTGTGAATATATAATTTAATGTTGCTGTAATATAAATAATATACTACCTCCGTTTCATATTAAGTGGCGTTTAAGGTTGTTGCACACTAATTAAGAAAGTTATGAACTAGTCTTGATTTTGGGTAAAAAAAATTATTTTGACAAATTTACCCATATGTATCTCTTTATTTTCTCAATAAAACTTCACTAATGTTGGAGAAAGTTGGATAAGAGAAAGTTGACATACCTTGAAATTCTAAAGTGACGCTTCATATGAAAAAAAAATATATATATAGCTAAAAAGACACTTAATATGAAACGGAGGTAGTAATATTTTATGATATTGGATTCCAATACCTTAAATATTATCTTGGGTAATTGAATCCACGAAAAGTGATCGCTTTCTCAACTGTAGTCGTTAGTATTTTGGAGATAATATCGAAGCCTATGCCTATATTGACAGAGAAACTAGACGAAGAGAATAAGCAACGAGCTTTTTAAAAGAGGTAAAGTACTTATGCAGTACACGTTCACTTAGTAATGCAATTCACATGGGGTAAAATTTGAGATATAAAACATGGTATTCGGAAGAGATTTGTCATATAAAGAGAGTTGCTAAATGCGGTTTTATTTTTACGAATATCGAAACTGATGTGGCTTATATGGATAACCAAAGAAAAAGCCCATGTATCCCTAATAGACCTGCAACAAGGAGTGTCGGGAAAGGGTTTCCCGTCGTTACACTCTCGATCTAGTTAGTCGGAATCTTGAGGAAACAATATATACGTATTCAAAGTGATGTAATGAGAGAAATGTGAATTTGGAATGTCAGTCTGCATTTTCCTTGTATCTCAAAGTTGTATTTATGCCTGTCATATGGATGGGGTGGTGGGTTCCCTCTTTGTCTGTGGTCATATTAACACATAGGTGTGAATAGGCGGAATGTAGTCAGTCACATCTGCTGCCTATGGCTGGCTTAGCCGGTCAGGCGAGAGTGGGCATGGGCTTTGTTCGTAGGATTTTTATTTTGTGCGCCTTTGAAGCAATCCAGCCCGTATCAACTACTCCCCTAGTTCATTCGCTCACACAGATGTCAAGTGTTTTGTTCGAGTAGTACTTTCAACTTTGTGTGTATTTTAGAAGTAAAGTTAAATATTTATAGTCTTAAAACAACAAGAGAAATAGGAAATAAAATCTTACATCCTTGATTTCAGACAATTTTGCTGATGAAATCTTTGCCATGGGGGAGTTGGAATTTATTTAAGTGGACTGTAAGTTTTTGAATGTTTGTAAGAAGAGGAAATCACATGATGAATGTTCATCACACACACACACACACACACCAAGAGGAGAGAGAGAGAGAGAGAGTGTGTGTGTGATTTCTCTCCAAATATCTGGGAAGATGAGTGGCAGCAATTGATTGAAGTAGAATTATGATTTTTGTTTTTTCAGTATACTTTCTTAAATGAAAAAAGTAGTGTCAAAATTGAAAAACTACAGCAAGACCTTTTAGAAATTCTAGTGTCCCTGTCATCCGCACACACACTAGGATGTGTATTTTCACATAGTGACAACACACATTTCAAATGTAATACTAATATGTGCAAATTTATTTATTATATCACATTGTACAGTACTCTGTACATACAACAAAACACCAGAGTAAAACTGCAAATACCAATATAGTAACACTGTTTTAATAGCTACAAAAACCAGTCAGTCACTTATTTACAATCAAACCATTCACTCAAGTGGCTCGATACATTTTGAGTCACGTAACACACGTTTGGCCCAATCTTGACCGTAATTATGCTCTAATGATCTTGCAAGTGCGTCACAAGCTTCATCAACTTTAACCGGAGCTTCCTTCTTCAGTGCAAATATTATTTCGACGAAACCGTCGTCCACGTAAACGTGATACAGGTTGCTAAATACCTGTCAAATACACACCACTAAGTATCAAAATATAACGCAAAGACGAAACAAATGTTACTTCACGAGATTTTTTCCTCACCGTTCTCAATTTTGAATGCACCACACTTATCACGCTAGAGAACCTTGAGACCAACTTAATGATGAATAAACCTTTGTCGGAAAGTGAGTCTTTTACAGTCAAGAGAAAAGATTCCTCAACAAAGTCTGCCTCTGGACTGATTAAACCAGAACTGCACAATAAAAAGAATAAAAATAAAATGATATACCAAAATAAATAAATAAATAAAGTGATTTTTTTTTTTTATATATTAAAAGCTCTACGTTACCTCGAGTCTGATGAACCCACATCAATTATAAGTACATCAATTTTGCTTCCAGCTGCATGAACTACGGCTAATTACTTGTTGCTATTGAGCGTGCTGTTTTAACCTTTTTTTATATTACTACAATACAGTTAGCTGTTGCTACTTTATACCTGCCTCGGAATTTGCTCTCTCTCTGACAAACTCAATTGCATCTGAAATATGTACCTGAACATGAAATAAAGGAGAGTACTAAAAGTATGAGCATTTTTTCGTCATCTTCAAATATTTTATGTTTTGAATTTACTTAGTGTGGATGTTAGAACCAACAGCCTTTCACAACCTTAAACACCGAAATTTTTGCACACTTCAATTTCTATTTTAAGTTGGTCAAACGTTAGAAAGTAGAGAATATCACCTTCAACCTTTCATCTTCTATAAAACCAAAATATTCGCTAGCAACATTCAGAACCACAGGATCTAACTCGACGACCTGGCAAATAATTAAGAATATATATAAGAGAAAAATTGTAAATTAACACAGCCAGAATTTTCCTTCTACTACCTCAATCTTTAGAGAAGGTATGCAATTCTTCATAAACATAGGAAGTATTCCAGTTCCAAGACCAATGATCACTGTTTTGACCTGGAAAAGTGGGAAATTTTTTAGTTACTTTCCATTACATGGACAGCTGTATGAACAGTGAATAATAATTATTATTGTAATTTACCCCGCAAGTCACTTATGAAGGTTTTTTGGAGAATCGTTTAAGCAAAAAGAGACGAGGAAGTAATTAGTTGTAGTATGTCATTTGAAGACAAAGTAGATGATGGCTCACCAAACCACCAGCTTTGGTAGTTGTTTTTGAATGTGCAGAAAACAACTGTAATCCAGCAATAACCCCCTTGTGAAATCCATTTGTCAAAATTTTGTGGTCAACTTTCAGTTCACCACTTGATGCTGCCCCAGATTAAAAGGACGATCAATGAAGGTGAATAAAATACTGCTACTTCAGCGATAATAACAGTAAGTATAAAAAGATTTTAAGGTTAAAAAGAGATGACTTAATTAGAGATGGTAGTAAAAGTTGCTTGCGTGTTTTGCACATGAAGATAGTTGGCTGAGTCGTAGGTACCTGTCCTACAATTATTGTCAAAGAAGCCTGCCTAGCAAAAGAACCTGTGAACTAAATAAAGTATTGGAGGGAGGACAAAATTTGAATATTATTTTATCCTAGTGAAAATATGCAGCACAAGAACATGACACACTGTCGCGAACAATTCTATTATTAGCTCTGGGTAATGATGCCTTCTTAGGATTAGAACATGGTTAATCTATTAAACATTTAGAAGCCAATTTATTGAATGTATGCAGCAAAAACTCATAATTTAAAATGACTAAACTGCATAAAGAATAAATAGGCTGATAGATATCAGAAATTCACCGATTTTTTTGGGTTTCCCTTTCTTCTGTCTGAAAGCTTCTGTGGATAATTGTGCTTCAGAATGCAGCAAAGTCTCAGTTGTATGAAAACAAAGGCGGCGGAATGTGAGATCCTGAGATTTATTATATCTCACATCTTCTACATACATTAGACCAGTCAAGACAGATGGAACCTGGATGAAACAAAGTAGAGAGAGATTTTAAAAGGAAAAAAAGGACATATGAGATATCTACTCAGAGAAACAGGTTATGTATGAAACTTTGATTTTGAAAACTGACGACATTTTTCCCTATACACAGTGCATCAGTTTAAACACAGCATAAGCACATCAATCACAACCAAAGTATTATAACATCAATGTAAAAGCTATCTATACCCATATTCTTGAACAAACTTACTCTACACATGAAAAAGACAATTATTACAACTCCTAGAGATCTCATAATATGAAGCAAGAAATAGTGGTTGTTCAACCTCGACCAGAATTGTCCTCTGCTTAATCCCGTCAACTGTATCATCTTCAGACGAAACTCTGCAAAAGATCCATTTGATAGGAGAACTTTGTAACCAAGATTCGGACTCCCATTATATAGCAAGGAAAAGCTATAATGCACTGAAACCATTGCAAACAACTTTAATGCTCCATTTTCTTGGTGCACCATAGGGTAAGTACAGTGTGTAAGAGTTGATCATTTCTTCTATGCAGAAAATATGTTTGTTACCATAACAGAATACACAGTCTTGAATAAGTTGCAGAAAAAACAAAGTTCAGTATTTCAATGAAAATAAATAGGACTGTATTATCTAAAGCATGAAGTAGCAGTGTGAAAGAACACCCTCACCATCCCTCAGAACAGATTTCAAACTTACTTACAAATCCTTTTTCACGAAATATCTCTTAGAAGTAATCTGCCTAAGAAGGAATATATCTTCACATTTCTCCTGTATATTTCTTGCAACTAGCAGAATATCACTCAATCTAAACAAAAATGCCATTAGTACATGCACCATCAATTGTTTTCCCCCACCTCCTAGGCTTTAAAGGATTCCTCGTCTATTCTGCCACAAGAGTGGCAAAAACGGCATTTCTTAGAAAGAATATAGTAACATAATTTTCTCAAAGAGGCCATCTTATTTGCAATATAAACTGTATTTATCCAAAACATTTCAGAAGTGGTTCATAAAACAGGGTGCATACCTTGCTATACGGAACAACCTTTATAAAGATGTTATACCATTAAACAAACAAAACTTTGTGCATAAAACACAATATATAGTATCTCAGCAGTGGTTTCGAAACAACTTTCCATAGTTAAAACAATAAAATGAAATCTCACTTTATTGTTTTAAGCAAATGCTGAACGGATACTTACACAATCTCATATTCATCACCCGCTTCGTCTGGGGTCAATTGAGAGATAAAATGAGAGACATCCTTCTGAAAAAGGGAAAAAAATACAAATTTAAGTATCCATCAAGTATACAGCTCACAATTTAGACTACCTATAGAAAATAAATTTCAGTGTTACCTCTATATCCGCCCATTTAATACAAATATGATTGGAATCCTGTACAATCTAAGGCCAATCAATAAAATGATGTGAGTGAAAAATGAAATATGAAGAGGCAGGTACTGGAAGAAAGTACACCAAATTTATAAATGAGTGGAACTACTTACAATCAAGAGTCGAGCAGCTTTGACGCATTGAAGAACGAGCCATTGTCGGAGTTCTGCTGCGAGGATCTTCTGGGCAGAATGACTCTGAAATGTAAACCTCAGTCACATAACAGTTGGACTGGAAACAAATTAAGTAGTGAAGTATGCCAATAGCAAGTGGAACCACATGGTGAATGATCATCTCATATATAACTTTAATCTTTTTAGTATGTGGAACTTTCTCATAAATGAACATCTCATGTGAAAGCTTAAACCTTAGAGACATGAGTTATTTAATGTTCAGTAACTCAGACATATATAGCACAGATAGGTACCCATCCATTTTATATTCAAAACTAAATATAAAAACTAATAAATAGAAAGGCAACAGATTACTAAAAGTAAAGACAGTTACTAAAATAAGGCATGGAAGTTGAAGCTGGTTAATTTTGAAAATAAGGTATAAAGAGACAGACTCCAGGTTGGCAAATGTTTAAACAGAAAAGTAACTGAGAGGAAGAACACTATCTATGATAGACTAACTTAACAATAAATAAGGACACATAGCTTGGTAACTTAGCAAAGGAAAGGTCAATCCAGAAGAAAAGGATGCTCGTGTTAGATTATTATACTCATTATGCACAACTCTTTAGCAATTTAAGTATCTATTTTTAAAATTTCCTGAACTGAAGAGCATCTTAAACTGTAACTAAAACCACAAGTGAAGGGCTAAGGGGAGAAAAGAGAACTAACTCGCAGAAAAATTATCACGCGAAATTGATCGGAAAAAGGTCCAGTCTCTGCAGGAGCATCAAGAAGGACACAGGTATAGAAGAAACGCGATACTCCAGTTTCACCTAAAAAAAGATTTATATGACGACCAGATTCAATCTCTCCAATGTTTCCTTTCACCCCTTGCTTCAGCTCTTCAAGTGAGTACCATTTATATGTGCCCTCGGAGTACGCTGTGCGGACAATATTTTCTCTCTCAAGTGCTTCAAGTAGCTCATGAACCTGTAATGTGTTCAAAAATTAAAATGTATTTCTCAAGATTCGTAGTAATCCAAATAAATGTTCATATGAGGTAACAAACAGTACTGTTATCAGATTGTTCGGAATCTTGACCAAAGTGCTCAAATTATTTCCTTCTCTTAAAGGGGGGTTACATGGACAAGGTTAATTGCTCTCACCTGATTACCCTGAGATTCTAAAAAAGATACATCCATGAATGGTGCTATCCGAGACACAACAGTTAAAAATGATTTCTCTGCGACCAACATAAAAGTCTGTTGTGTGTTGGTTCCAGGAGATGCTTCGTCGTAAATGGTATAGAGATTGATCTTCCACCCAAATCGGAACTTTAAAAAAAGTAGACCTGAGAGAGTCATATGATTGAAATGAGTATCAAGTCTAAGCACTGCATAGAAAATGTAAAATTTAGTGCATCTTTACGTTGACCAAAATAATGAATAAAATTAGAGAGAAACAGTCTTTACCTAGCACAAGAGGTTCTGCCAAGGTGAGACAAATATATCGTCCTCCAGCTTTTAACAGTCTTTTAACCTATAAACAAGTCAAACTTTTGGACCATAACAAGTAACAAGATCGAAATTGTGTCATTATCAAACAAGACGGACTATCATAAACCTCGGATATATAAGATCGTAGTCCTGATCTGGGGCCAAGCTCAGAATCCATCAGAATATCCAATCCTCCCTTATCGACGATGACATCAAAGGTCCCACTCGGAAACTGAATGAATTACAAATCATTTGGAAAAAAAAAAGGAAATAGATAGAGAAAAGAGTTCCAAAAAATCACAGAGCATAGGCAAAATTTCTTCAGAATCAATTCACATTATTGATTTTAGTAATTGACATAACCATGCCAAAATAGTCGATTGCGGACAATTACAGAAGCAATCAATCGTACAGGTGGCGGGAATAAGGCTAATTGACTATAGAAAAATGATTTGATTAATCATTTGAGATGAACTAATACTCAACGACCATAAACATGCTCTTTCAGGACTCAATTCCCTCCTTCAATTACCAAAAGAGAAGAAGAAGATTTGATTCAAACCTAACATTTGAAATTATTGACCCAAAATTAAATTTCCAAATCAACTGACAATGTTTTTAACAATTAATTTGATTGCAAGGGTTAGAAACTAGCAAATTTGTGTATAATCCCCAAAAACCACATGGCCTAGGGTACTAACTACTGGATATGATGAAGAGAAAGGAAAAATTACCTGAATATTAGTGATATCCATAACGCGCCACCTCATCTCCGGCCGTACTTTGATATTCCTCTTCATCATGGCCTGAATCACCACCTTCGAGAAATCCACATTTGTAATGTTCCTAAACCCTTCGTCGTAGAGATGCTCCGACAGCCTCGAGGCCCCGCACGCCGGAACCAAAATACTCAGCTTCTCCGGCGTCTGCGCCGGCGCCGGAAATGACAGATGGCTTATGAGTGAGGTCCGGAATTGGGGCCAGTCGGCGTACCACTCGCAGAAATCGTCGGCGCCTTTCGAGGTGAAGAAACTGTCCCAACTCTCCTGCTTGATGAAGTCTACGGCCGTCACCGGCAGCTCTTCTGCGATTCGGATGCGGCTCTCTTTCGCAGGGTTTTCCTCCGCCATTTTCACGCGCACTACGTGTTCCTGAGTTAGAATGCGGTTTTGTGAACAGTTGAAATATATATTATATATATATAATATATATTTGAAATTTAATATCCCGCCCGCCTAAACAAACCTAACAAACTGCGGTTATATTCCATTTCCAGTAGTTTATTAACCCTCTATAAATTAAAATACAGTTGGAATTATGAAAATTCTATTAATTTAGCAAAATATTAAATTATCAAGTTATTAATTTAGCACGTTCTCACCTAATTGGGGTCAGAAGAATTTATTATTTAAGTGAGGTTATTAATTTATCGGGGTGGTCGGGGCGGGAAAGTCCCTCTTCCTTCTATGTTCCTTGTACCGTGAACTTGGTCCGTTTCTCCAAGTCGCGACTCCATATTTTCGGCCAAAGCTTTACTAGTCATTAAAATAATCTTAATGTCAAAATCGCAGGTTACGCTTCCCAAAGACGGTGCCGTATGATGTGGCCTATATGGCTAATTAAATATAAAGGAACGGAATGGGCCTGGAATCAAAAAAGCCCAAAGAATAAGCTCACGTATCCCTAAGAGACCTACAAAAAGGAGTGTCGGAAAAGGATTTCCCGGCGTTAGCAATCCGACGATCAAGTCAGACGCAATCGTGGGAAAACAATATATGCGATTTAAAGTGATGTAATGAGAATAAGGTGGATTTGGAATACCAGTTTAGCTTTCCCTTGTATCTGAAGTTGTATCCAGACATTTCACAGGGATAGGGTGGTGGGCCCCCTCTTTGTCTCTGGTCAATTTCACACGTGGATGTGATGTGACAACTTTGGGTTGCTTGTCTATTGAAGGCGAGTTGTCCCGTTTCTTACGAGTTGGGTTACTTCAAATGGGAAGGGTTCACGAGTGTGATTGTTTTCTTTTAAATCTCAAGTGGCCCTTTTCCCACTCCATGTCATTGCAAGTTTTTCGTCTTTCTTTGTCTATGAGGGGAATGCAATCACATCTGTCGCATATGGCTATCGTACGTGGGTAAGTGGCTGATTTAGTGGGTCAGGCGGGGGAGTGGCCTGAGCTTTGTTTGTAGGATTTTTATTGTTTGGGCCTTTGAGACAATCCAGCCCATATCAGTTCCAATTTTCAATTTTTTTTCTCTCACTAGGGTTTGAAATATCGTATTTTGGCCTATCAACGCCCAAAACAGACATGAAATAATATATTTAACGCCCAAAATGGGAGCAGAAAAATGCCCTTCGCACACATTTTGGACGTAGGAACCATTGTTTCACGCTAAATTGGGAGTGATACCCCAACATGGTCAATATCATTCACCTTTTTTTCTTCTTATTCGCTTTTTTGTTTTATTTAGTTAATTAATGATTATTTTTTTTAATGAATTATTAATTGGTTAATAATTAATAAATAACTAATTATTGATTAATAATTATTTGATAATTAGCTAATAATTCATTAATAAATTTTAAGTAATTAATAAATAATTAGTGATAATTGGTTAACAATTTGTTGTAATAATTATCTAATAGTTAATGAATAATTAATTAATATTTTTTTATTTGCTAATGAGAAAATGTATTAGTTTTATTTATATGTATTCAGGAAGGAAAAAAAAAAGCCCGCATGGGTGTAGCTCAACTGGTTCCGGAGGTGGTAAGTTGGTGCAAGGAAGGGAAAAAAAAAAAAAAAAAAAGAGTAGTGTCTCTCTCACGCCCATGCTAGGCGTGGGATGTGGTTTTATACGCCCAACTTGGACATACTCGTGAGGTTTGGGGTGGGTTAGGGAATTCTAGAGAGAGCGCAACTTTTTTGAATAAACGGAATTCGTAAAATTAGAGCCGGAAAAGTCATTTCAGGTCATAAAACAAGCTAGCACATAAACCGAAAATTGAAAATAGTACGTGGTAATCACAACAAAAATTAACATAAAGGAAAATGTTGCAGCACTACAAAACTACTTCACGTAAGGTAGAGCGAACAAACAAACATCTATCTTCTTATACTCGCAACACAATATACAGTTTAAAATACAACAACAAAACTGTATTTTTCTCTTATCACAGTAAATGAAAATGTTTATATTCAAAAGAATGATGATTATGTTAGATACAATGAAATCAATAATCATCGTAAATATCAGCCGTAATTCTTCTCTATGCCGTTTTTGAATCAGACTGTCTTTTGCGGTTTTCCCATGTGGTACCGGTTGAACATCTCATTAACTCAAACCCAACTTTCAGGAGCTGTCATTTTCCATTTGAATTTAGATATACGAGTGAAGCTGTCTTTTAATTATCCCAACAGCTCCATCGTCGGTTTAGTAACGGGCAATATGAAATCTCGATTGGCTAACGGACCTAAGCTAAACTTCGAGTCAAAAAATCATTAACTGCGAGACTTGCATCTCCGTGTGACACAGCATCTTCAGGCTCAGGCATATAGAGACTCGATACAGAAGCCTGTACACAAAAAAGACGAGAAATTATGGGATAAAGTCAACTGTAATCATTCAATCATCAAATTCATTACAAAATTCAATCTTCACGAATAAAAGGATTCAAAATGGAATTTTAGTCACCTAGAATAGCTGTTGGAGCATTTCTTTCTAAAAATAAAATTTATAAATAATATTAATATTTAGTATTTGTCGGGAGATAGCAACACAAAAATGGAAAAACCTGCCAACATGTTATTGGTTGATTTCAAGATGACTTAAGCATAAATACCAGGAAAATGTGATTATAAAGATAAACCTGGAAGTTAATTTTTCTTTTGAGTTACTGCTTAGGACGTATAACAAAACAAACCTGGAAGTTAATTTTTATTTTCTTTTTTTCAAAGAAAGTTTAAACGAAACTTAGAAAATGTAGAGAGGCAACCATCATATGCGAGGAGTATAGCTGTGAGTTATTCAGAACAAAAAACAAATGTCCATCAAATGTTTGTGAATTGCAGGTTAACTCTTTAGCTTATCTAAGTGGCAAAAGGGTATTATAGTCAAAGTTGATCCATGCAGAAGAATCGACAGGAAGATCATCCATTAGTCGTTACACCCTGTTATTGGCTGCCACCTAGATAGATCATAGACCCACTAGTTCTCTTAAGGAAGGAGGCGATTTGCAAACTCTTAAGGAGGAAGTGAACGAGATAAGTTCACACATTTACTAAAAATGACCCACGGAAACTGGGACTGACAAAATTACCTTTGTATCAAGTGATATCTCCTCAGAACTCTCTGTAGTTACGCATGCACCATGAGCTTTTAACCATTCCATACAATCTTCCATTCCATCTCCTTCATTCTCGTCGTTTGCTTCACTTGTTGGCAATGTATTAGTGAAGCCTAATATTTGGGAAAGATATCCCACAGGAACTGTAGGACGGTATGAACGAGACATGCACTTTACAGCTGCATATCGCATTTTTTCCACGTATAGATCTGCAATAAGAAATATTTCCATAATGTATTTGCTTAGTTAATGATAAATACGTAAAAGACCAGTTATTCAAGCAGATCATCATTAATTAAGTGTGTAAGACGCACCCATAAGAAAGGTGTTAAGATTAGGAGCCGTTTTGTAAAGTCTGAAAAACATCACATAATTTCCAGATGTCACAGCTCTACGAACTGAAAGAGCATGCTTTACCGCTATGTCCATTTTAGCATTAGCTGGTAATCTGTGAAATAAAATTAATGGTTACGAGACATGATAATCCGTGAGGAAAAAAATTGTAAAATGTGTGCAAAAGTACAGATATTAATTACTACTGCCAGTCTAGATCCTCTGAATCCAGAGAAACACATCATTACTTGCAATTTAAAACTCAGTCCATTTAAAGAGAACTGGTAATTTCTTTTAGTAAAACCCATTGCTAGATTCTACGGGCGTAAGGAGTACTCGCCTTTAAATCACAACAATTATTTTGCATGTTCTTTTCGATAATTATTCACCTTAATATTGCTGCTCAACAAGTGCTTAATCTCTTTCACAACTAATCACTTCTAAAGAAGTTCACATGAAATACTTTCTAGGCCAAAAGCCGAAAAACACAAGGAGAAACTTGTTAAATGATTTTGACATTTGCACAGAAAATAACAAGAGGATATGAGGGAGAGGGAGAGACACAGAAAAAGGTAAGATACACAGGATATAAAATATAAAAAGCTGAAGAAAGAAAGAGGAGAGACGGCTGAAAAGGTCATAGGCAGTGTCATCCAGATCAATTACTGAGCAGCAACGAATGCAATAAACGAATGGATCTACAGAATAAATGAATGCAATTGAATCAAAAGCAGATTCGTAACAAACCTGGACATTGCTGAAACAAGGTCCCTGTTATTATTTGAATGCAATATTACACAGAGTAAATTGTATGCGGCAAATTCCATATGGCATCCCGTAATTCCCTCAGCATAGAGAGTTTGTAGTTGTGATTGGCACTGCTCGCAGGCAAAAAGCAAGAAGATTTAACAAAATGGACTTGCTGGAGGTAATAAATTTAGTTACATAAATGAAAACACAAATACAGTCTTCAAAACGTAATTTAACACAAGTACAGAGTGTCCGTGATATTGTCTACGAATTCCAGTTTACCAACCATTTACCTCAAGAAAAGGGGATACATCTAGCACTACAAAGAGAAGTGTGGAATGACCACCTCAAGAACAAGCACAAAAAATCAAAAGTACCAAGTATAAAAGACACTTCTTAGGATGTACAAAGACATGCTCACAATAATCCGAGTACACGCATGTTGGAAAATGAAAGATGGAAGAGTGAGCTCAGACTTATAATAGGAGAATTATGGTCGGCATACGACAGGATAGCAGTAGCTTCTGGTAATTTAATAGCAGCATACAGTTAAGCAGAATGTAGGGCACCCAATTGGTCATCAAGGGACAATATTCAGAAAGAATACACTCCGAAGAAGTTTCTAGATAGTGTGTCCCTTGCATATCAACATTCAAAAGGATACGCAGTGATTAATAAGATGTAGAGTTCTCATAATAGTTAGTTTTCTTCTTTTAGTATTTTAGTGATTTGAGAGTTTTCACTGTAGTTTGTAGTCTTTTTTTTAAGTATGTTGGTCATGGAATTAGGTAATTCCATGTATCTAACAATTTTGACCACTTAGTATCAAGGTAGGATGGAGTCCTAAATCATAGAGCCCTTTTTATATACAAGGGTTTCAGATCTACTATGGACCAAATAATCCCTTTGATAAATTAACTGTCGTAAATATAATGTATGATCTATGTAATCTTGATGGAATCTAAAAGAGTTCAACAATAGCTTGAACATGAACAGTCGAACATAATTTTCTGCAGTTCATTCGATAGCCGTTACGAGAATGAAGTGTCGTCAAAGGAATGTGTGAGCTAATGAACAAAACTGACAAAGGAAAAGAATAATCTACAAGGTAAAGCTCGCAACAAGCCATTCACGCAAGAAAGCATAAAGCTCAGAACAGTAACCTGGTTATACTCTGGCAAGTCACCAACTTCTATAGCCAATCTGCCATGAGTTTCATATACCTAATCAAAGGTGAAACATTAAATTAGAAAACAGAATTAAACAAAATCTAAATAAGCTTATAATCTTGTCCACATAGGAAAACAATTACAGTAAGATACGCAGCACAATTATTAGCAGAAAAACACATAAAATCATCTACATTGAAAAATGAATGGCATGTATGAAAGATTGAGTCCAGGCAAAAGTACCTTAACTGTAAGCTCATTACGTATATGTTGTACAGTAAGATCTTGACGTATTGACTTTATCTGATCACATTTGTAAAGGTAATTTTTTGGAGAATTTTGAACCATTAGCAGAGCTTTTTCCAACACCTCTTCGGGCCTCACCTGCAAAGCAATACTTATCTTAAAAAACATAATTGCTCGTGACAGAGACCATATATCTACACAGAATCCTTGACATTAGATCATGAAGAAGCTGGGGTAGTTTACCGTGGCAGGATCAGGGGCAGAAGTAAGGCGCAAGTAGCGTTTCTCAATTTCCTGACAGGTTCCCTTGACGGTAAGAGCATTCCAATCAATATCTTCGACAGCCCTGCTACCACTTTCCTCAACGGTTCTGCTATGCACTAAGGCACTAGCCCGTCTTACATACAAGTTACCGGCTCCCACACCTTTTGCTCTAACGTTATTTTTTTCTGCTCGGTTTCCATGTCCCTTGTCAAAACGTTTAGAACGATTTTCACGTCTTTTCTTCTCTTCTGGTGAATCAGCAATGGCAGTTGCAGCAGAATAATATTTGGCCAAACTTTGCTCCTTGTCACTATCGCTAGAACTTTCACCAGCATCAGCTGCATTCAGATCATCACCAAGACGCTGCCTCTTAACAGGTCTGCCAATATTTTTCGCAGAATTTCTATGATATGTAAAAGAAGATTTAGCGCCCAAACTCTCCCTTTTCTCTGTCCCTCCACCTGAAAACTGCAGTCGTGTAATAAAAATTACACATGATGATTGTGAGATAAAGCACCTATTTTGTTTATAAGCATTTCCTCCAATCGACATAAAGAACAGCCATTAAAACATTCTCACGATTACCTGTTTCTTGTTCCAACCACCATATTTGACATTTCCATAAGAATTATTCGCAGATTTGTCAACCATTTTTTCCTCTGGAACTGGCCCCCACCTACTTTTGGCTCGCCGATTAGGACTCTTACTCTTTGGCATTGCAGATGTTAATAATGGAAACTCAGAATCACTGCACAATAATATTAAACAATAATATTAAGACACATGCGATATTGGTTCTCAATTTTCATTTGTATAAACAAATATACTCATGGAGGATATAGTAGAAACGCACTCTTCGCTAATTGCATCGATGTTCGGCATGGGGAACAGGGGCTCAATGTCCCAATCTCTTGTGTAAAGTGTACCATCCGCAGTCGCTTTGGTTATTACCTAAATGATAAAATTGGTACAGCATGTTAAGATGGACACATTTAATCTGAATGAAAACTGTTCAAAACATGACGCGTAGCAGCATGAGGTAAGCCATCAGGAAGACAAACAAGAAAAATAACGCAACCATACATCCAGGATTTATGGATATTTAAATGCCAGACTGTGATGTGAAACAAACTAAGCTTTTATTTAGGTTAATAAGGAGCACTGGAAGATAATTATACAATTGATACTGCTCTACATAGTATTACCAGCAGCATGAAAATTAAGTTTATATAAAATAAACCTTGGTCTGAATTTTGATTATTAAAACCTTCACATTTTGCCTATTTCTCACCTTCTATCAGGAAAGTAACTTATTGGATCCAACTCAAAGTGATTTTTTTGTGGTAGACTGTTCTGAGAACACAAAATGGGGAGAACTGGAAGCTATTGATTCTAAACTTCATGCTGCTGTAGTTTTAATAGTTTATAGAAGAATATGTAAGCCCAAAAGCACCCCACTTAATCTCCGGGGCAGAAATATGTTCTGCAGAAGACACTAAATGTCTTAAACAGAGAATGCATGTAACACAAAACGAACTTGCACTTTCTGCTGAGTTTAGCACTAAACAATGATTTAGGAATTACAACATTCGAAGTCATATAATGTTGACCAAGGGGAGGCCGGACAACATGTATTGCATGAGCAATGTTGTTTTCCCTAAATTTACCAATGACCCTCATAGATACTAGTCTTCCTCAAATATATACTTCCTCCTTCCCATTTTATTTGTCAATTTGGATAAAAAAAATGTTTCAAATTATTTGTCACTATCGAATTTCAATGAAGCATTAATTAAACTTTTTTTCTATTTTGCTCTTTATCACTCTTAATTAGTTGAAAGATAATCAGTTCAGAAGCAATTAATGACAAGGGTATTTTAGTGATGTTCTATGTTTTTTTAGCTATAATCCATGTAATTTATTTTTTTTCTTAATATGTGCGCAACAACCTAAAGTGGCAGCTAAAATCGGGAGCGAGTGTGAAATAACTATGACAACAGTCTCATTGTTGTATATGTGTTATACATCATATGTATCAACGCCCTCAAACAAGAATCAATTTGTATTTGGGGGGCGGGGGGTGGTTTCCAAGCCCAGTATCATTAAATTGTAGAAAATAACACCACAAAGGAAAAGGTCAGTGACTCAGTGTGAATGGTTAACATCAACATGCTCAAATCACAAGATGGCAGCGCAGCAGCATATAATAATTTATAATTAATATAATTCTAAGGTAGACATACACAAGTCGAAGCCCTGTCTCAAGATAATAAATTCATGTAAACTAGTGAATCTTAGAATCACAGCTATCAGATTTATGCTCTTTGCATCATCCAAAATATGTTTTCGCACATCCATTTTACCAAAACTAATGTTGCATAACCAAGATCCAGTCTATAGAATATACCTCCTTCATGGTAGCTTGGCATGCCGTCTTTTGCCTATCATTTTTGCAACGAGCCAATGCCCTCTCAACATAACCACGCAATGACTTTGGAAATGCACCAGGCTGTAAAGACAAGAGTGTGACTTCAGTAAAATACCCTCCGGCATACTTCTTCATTCTATCATTTTCCAATATGACAGCATTTCATAATAACATATGATGGGATACTTTCATAGTAAAAATATGCAAAACCAGAATGTATTTTCTTAACGATTCCCAATAAATGGATGAACAGGAATAGAATAAACTAATACTATAGATTAATTTGTGTAAGAAACTAAGACATGGAATCATTGCTGGTTTTGGAAATTAAATCATAAATTAAAGCCACATGCCAGGGTCAGAATAAACCACCATGTTTGAACACCAACAACTGTAAGCACTCCACTTTAACCAGTTTAAGCTATATCATTCTCGTAATGTAAACAACAGATTGCTTACAATTGTTTACCAAGAGGTAAATCAGGCAGAGATACCTGCTCAAACAAAATTCAATCCCATCCAACCTCGTATATTCCTTCTATAACTATCACATAGTACTTGGTCATTAAAATAATTTCATAATCATGTTTATCTTGTTGTCCCAGAAACATAGTAATTGACTGCAACGAATCCACAAGTCAAAATTTGTGAAGATGCATTACATTTCCATTCTTTAAAAGTGAAATACTTCATTCCAGTTTAAGAGGGGAATGTCCAATCCTGGAGAGAGTATGTATTTCGATTCATATCCATAAGTATTATATCTGAATCCATTCTATGTTAAATAAATATTAGGTTAACAGTGAAAACAATAGATTTACCTAACTTGAGGTAAAACACAAATCATATAGTAAAACCGATCAAAGAAATTCTTATACGCGCTACTTAAAGAGCTGTATCAATAAGTGTATCATCCATTTCATCTCGACTTTTAGAACATAAATAAAACAGCAATAATTGGCAACATTAGGGAAAGGCATGCAACTCTCCCCTTTTAGTTTCTCATGTCAAATTTCTGCTATAAAAAGATAAATGATAGAAAGAACAGAGTGAAGGCCAAGACTGACGAAAAAACAAAAAAAAAATAATTATATTCAGAAGTATGTCATCCATGAAAAAGGTACATGAATACAAATTAAGACATCTTACATGATTCTTACAAATTAAGGCTTTATCCTCAAATATCAATTGTTATCAACTGCTAAGCACAGTCCTACAAGTCCTCGCTTAGGATTTATCTGTATTAACAAATATTGATCTATTCGACTGCACTCTTTGCATGGTTATATCTAAATTGAATTGAGTTTCCAAATCCTCAATATAACCTCATTTTATGCGACTTTAGGAAGTCTGCTTACTCTAGACATTTATTTTAGTTTCACCTATTTTTCCTACAAAAACATCAAAAGAGCTTTGATAAATTTATATGGACCCCAAAGTCTCTGGTATTTTACCTTTTTTGTAAGTTGTCCCTATAATGGCCTACAATACCAAACCCAAAGGGAAATTAACCCTTGACATACTACGACCCTCCCCACCCCAATACCACTCAAGCAACGCCTTTGCAATATCTGGAGGCATTAATTTATGGTATTTTACTTAATATACACTACTTTAACCAAATGTATCTGATAAGTACACCCCAGTTTACCTTATATTCATTATTAGTTGAATTTACTCCAGCTATCCAGTTTTTGTTCTTCTTGGCTACTATTTTCATTGTCCTAAATTTCTTTCACTAGCCTAAAGTTCAAATAAATCAACTCTACGTCCTTGTTAGCTCTTGTTAGAGCGTAAAGTTTGATGAGTGAATGTGCTAATATTGACGAGCCAATGTAAATCGTAAGAAGCCGAAACGACATGGCATTTAGAGTATGTACTTTTTTACTATGTTCAGTTTCAAACAAGATGAGCAAATGCACAGACTGAATATAGAAAAGCATTCTAACCTTGAGCACGGAATCAGCTTCCTCATGTGACATAGCTTTTTCATTTGGTTTCTGCATAAGAACACTGACATAAGATGGCTTTATAGTAGTACTAGTCATGGAGCTATCTTTTTCGGTTTTCAAGAGACCCAAGGACAAGTTTGAAGCAATTCTTGGATTAGTTGGAATTTGTAGTTTGTTTGCCTTTCGAGGATCTAGAGGTTCGGGAGGTTGTGAAACAGTTTGGAAGGATGATTGCTGACCCTGAGAAACCTGGTAAGAAGCTGGGTAAAGAACAGAAGAACCTTGGGAAAATGTAGAGTTCTGTTGATTTTGAGAACTTTCATATGGACCCTGAGAAACCTGGTAAGAAGCTGGGTAAAGAACAGAAGAACCTTGCGAAAATGTAGAGTTCTGTTGATTTTGAGAACTATCATACGCAGGCATTATTTCTGGTGGCTTTGGAACATGTGACTGTATAGAGTTGGGCAGGTCATGTTGGGAAGCAGAAGTCCCATGTGTCCAATAAGCTTCAGGGGTACTACCACTTACAGCAACAGGCTGACAACAAAACCACAGTAATAAGATGAGATTGACATGCCAATTTTGATAATAAGGAATTATTGTTATCAATCAAAGTATCTAAAATAAATGCAATCAAGCTTAAGACCCAGAACCGGCTACCCTAAAAAATACGTAAAGAAACTGATAAACCTTACAATGACTGAAAAAACTCTCAATTGTTAAAAAAAAAAAAAAAAAAAGACAGGCTTGCTTCAGTTCTAGCTTCAAAATTATAAGGAAGCGACGTCTTAACAATACTCAAACATTCATCTATTAAAACGATTATTCAGGTTACTCCTCTCCCTCCCTCCCTCCCTCTCGCCGTGTAAGTTGATTCTTTGAATATAAAAAGCTACTGTGTAGAGCCCATAGATACACCATCATACTCGCCACTCCCCAGACATGTTTGCACACCGAAAACACTCCGGTTTTATTATTAATTGGCCATGCTACCCATGTCATTAAGGCTTTTAAAAGGCTATACCTGTCCTGAGAATGTTTAAACTCTTAGGTTGCATTCATATGAAAGAATTCGAAGTTAAGGATTTCAATTACATTGAATTTTGTTTAGATAAATTCATATGGTAAGGAATTTCAAATCCACGACTCTCATTCAGTACCTAAAAATTCAATGCCTTATTTTTCTTGCAAAATACTACAAAAATATAAACGGTGTCTCCAAATGTTCTTTTCAAGGTTTATATCCATCAGGTTCCTATCGAGGTGCAAAATAAAATATTCAATTTCATTAATGCTATTTGCTGCATCTTTTTCAAATAAATATAAAATTGACCTAGAATTGACCACATATTGATACAGCTTAGCAAACATAACAAGACCCAGAGTCTCTGAGATGGGCCTCTCCAATATAATCCAGAAGGTAATACTGTATAAAAGGCAGAGCTTTAACAGTTCTTAGAACTCAGCTGTTGAACTACAGTGCAAGAATATTTCAGTTAATGGTTTAACAGGTGGTTGTACACATTGTTTTGGATCATTTTCAGGCTCCTTGAGGAATTTGATATGTTGATAAGTTAAAAATTTGACTCAACAGCCTTATATACTTATCACCTATTGCACGTAATTAGTTCATATATCTCTCTCTTCTTCCATCAAGTTCCCATCACCTTCATTTATCAATCCAAACCACAAAGATATTTTATCCAGCAATTCATAGGTGACCCTTTAGCAAATTCGTGGATATGGCACTATTCTACTTCTCTTATATTGCAAATCAATCTTAACAATTAAGTTCTCACTTCTCAGACATACCCCTATAGATTCTTTTATTCACAGCCAATGCTTGGACCATCTAATTACGAGCAAAGTCAAAACATTTTTGTGGTAGTCGGTTACTAACATAAGAATTCTAGCTAACTGCAATTAAGACCAGCAAACCTGCACAGCAGTTAGTTCAGATGAACTAGATGTTGGCCTCCACAAAGGGGTATAAGCAGTAGACACCTGGTTGATTGGAGCTGTATATCCAGTGCTTCCACTGGGAACAGAACTATTCACGTTAGATGCAATAGGGACAGAACTATTCACGCTAGATGCAATGGAGGCAGATACATTCTCGGTCCCAGGAGCACAGCTAACTTCTGTTTGAGTTTGATTGTAATAATCCTCCCATTGTTTATAATGCTGCTGATATTGTGAAGTTGCAACAGCAGGTGTAGAACCATAGGCTGAACTTGAGTCCTGAGTGTAATTTGGATACTGATTGGAACTGTATGTTGCATATTGCCCTCCTTGCCACAAGTTGGTCTCAGTGCCATAGGTTCCACTTGTGTAACTTCCGGACGTCTGATAATCACCAGGATTGTAATAAGTGCTTGAGTAACTTGCAGGCCCAGCATAAGACCCTGTATTTTGAAATGAGGAAAGAGGCTGATAAGGAGCACCTGTGTTTTGATAAGCTCCGACTTGATGAGGATAAGACTGAGTGGATTGCTGGGGCTGCTGTTGATACTGACTGGATTGTTGGGGTTGTTGATACTGACTGGATTGCTGTGGCTGTTGATATTGACCGGATTGCTGGGGCTGTTGATACTGACTGGATTGCTGGGACTGTTGATACTGACTGGATTGCTGGGGCTGTTGATACTGACTCGATTGCTGTGGCTGTTGATACTGACCAGATTGTTGTGGCTGTTGATACTGACCCGATTGTTGGGGCTGTTGATACTGACTGGGTTGCTGCTGTGGCTGTTGATACTGAACTGGTTGCTGCTGCTGCTGCTGCTGTTGATACTGAACGGGCTGTTGCTGCGGCTGTTGATACTGAACGGGTTGTTGCTGCTGTTGATACTGATCAGGTTGTTGTTGATATTGACTGGATTGTTGCTGCTGTTGATACTGAGCGGGTTGTTGTTGATACTGACTGTAGTAAGCTGTATAATCCGTGCTATTGTATCCATAGGGATCAGTATTTGGGTAACCAGCATAACCACTATAACCTTGTGCTACATCTGCAGGTCCTGAACTTGATGTGGAGACAATAGGCGCCAAAGGTTGTCCATCTTGAACGTTTTTCAAGGTTGACTCTGGTAACTTATCATGATTGTAGCCAGTATTAGAAAGAACTCCGTTCTCCCTCAAGCTATTATTCTCCATTTGTGTGTTCCATGATGCAACAGCACAGCTCGGAGAGAAATAAGAAGTCGCATGAACTTGGTGAGATTCGTTTTTCTGCTGCTTCTGATAATGGAGAGGGAGAAACAAATCAGTTATACAGCCCAAAATAATTTCAAGAATAGAGACCAAACTTTAGAATAAATTAGCTAAATGTACCAATGTAAGGAGGGGTAAAGTACTATAGGATAAGTATTTTATTAAGGCAGTCTCAAACTTCAATCACGTGGATCTATACCAGGCAACAGCAAAGAAAAAAGAAATAAGCAATATTGCCTAATATGGAATGCTTTGACTAATTTGTACACTGGAGAGTTGATACCTGGATTTGATTCTTAGAGTCAAGGTCCAGGGTTCAAATCTTGTATCTACTCTACTTCCTCATTTGTCACAGTACTTTAATTTTTAATTAAGAAAATAAAACATATATACTGGAATGAGTCATGCAAACCACGTGCAAGAAGAAAAGGTGCCACGGCCTAGTAATCAGCCAGGTAAAATCAGTTGATAATAAGTGGCTAACTTGTGGAAGATGTAATATATTTAAGTAAAATTAAGAAAGAAAGAGCCGATTCATACTTCACAAGTAGACTAAATAGTAAAGACCATGCAATAAGCATCAGATGGAGAACCAGTAGGAATGGTAATAACAGTGGCTCTATTCTAGCTACTATGGATACAAAAATTTCAACCAAAATGTGATTGTAACTGATGTCAAACCTACATGCTTAGTTCTAGCAATGCAAAGTGGCATATTTCCCCCAACAAGTATTGACAACTTCATGATCGGCATCATGTACAGCTGAAACTTACTTTCTTTATTTAGATCATTGGAAGGAGAACAACATTTATACTTAACAGGCTTGTCCAGTAAGCAATTTGCCACGATTTTACACTTTACTTTTCTTATATTTATAAGGGAAATTGTATCACCTCCCAAACTCACGAGTCACAATGTTGACTCTCTTTGTGTGGTAAAATGAGTAATATTGAAATTAATGCTAAATTTCTTATCATTCTAATCCAAATTAAAAAAAAAATGAAAAAGTGGCGAAAAGCTTTCCCAACTTCGGAGCATTCTATTCAAGTTTATTCCCAAAGAATAAGTATTTAAAGCTCATAACTTGAATACCAAACACTTGACTGTATAGAAATCCACGTAGGTAGCCAACGATATGCAGAATGCTCATAAAGATGATATCTTAGATTACGGATCTGCAGAAGCCTATCTATTCTTTTCCTCAGCCGTTGTAAGATCAAAGATTATATGCTTTATGTTGTCAGAGCGTTGAGATGGTTGTTCGTATCGTAAATTTTTAAAATATTCTAAAATATGACTTAGAATGATAATCCAGGTTGCAGTTAGCATAATTCTTTTGCTATATAACTTTCAGCATACAATTATCGATTCTTATAAAAACAAGTTAAATTTGTCCCAGAAAAAAATATAAAATCAAAGAAGAGCAGGTACCAGTGCCATGAGCTACCATATACCATAGCACCTCAAGAATGAAAGCATTTTCTTCCATGTTAAATACACACACACACACACACACACACACACACACACACACACACAGAAAAAGCTTCCAATAACTGAATGCGTAATCAAAAACCAATCCGCTCACTATATTGAAATGGGCGAAAGGAATTACCTCAAGCGAAGAAATGGAATCCGCGGTTTCTCCTTGATTCATCATCATCGCAATCACATTAAAATCCCCAATTTGAAGCACTTTCAACAAACAACCAAAAAAAAAAAAAAAAAAGCCCTAATCGAAATTGGTCTGAGTAACACGAAACTTCAAAAACCCAATGGGAAATCGCAATAAGGAATACGTTTGCTTCAAGGTGAAAAAACAAACGCAGAAATCAACCAAATAAAACCCAAAAGGAATTTGAAAAGGGATAATTGGAGAAGAAGAAGCAGTCTTGGGGGGTTGGGGTTGGGGTGGGGGGAGTTTTTAATTTCAATCCGTCTCTGCGTGGGATCGCGTGGTCTTTGGATGGTTCACGGCGGGGACAAGGGTTGTGTAATTAAATGATATTACTATTATTTATTGTTACAATATTATTATCAATTCATAAAAACTATTTTTTTTTTTTTTTTTTGAAGAGAAAAAAAAAAACCCTAGTTGTGCAGGATATTTTAAGTATTTATTAAAGATTACGTGGTGTTTGCAAAAAGTTTTACAAATAGATTATGATCTTTGTTTTGTTTATAATGTATTTTTAAGTGGTTGTAAATTGAACTTTTGTTTTCTTAAATAAACTACTTTTTAGTTATAAATTATTAAGCACTATGATCTTTCTTTTTTTATTTAAGTTGATTTTCCTGTAAATTAGCAAACACTCCCAACTTTTAAAAATAAATACTTAAATTAACATAACTCAATAGCTGTAACTTCTGCTTTTAAATATTTTTTTGCAAACACCACCTATAAAGTTCTACAAATAAGTTTTTATTTTTTACTATATTTGAGTTCGTAGAAAAACCGAAAAGAAATGATGTACAAATTCTTTTTTATAGATTTAATAAAAAAATGTTACATATCTATTTAAAGTTCATCGACTATTGTCGTCATGATAGTAATCTTGAAAAGTTGTAATAACGAACTGAGTTGTAATTATATTTTGATCTCCTTTCGATGTAAATTTGGAATCCAACAACATTGATTCGAGGGTTTTGTAACTTAATCTCGAATCGAATGTTTTTCTTTTTTAGAAACGTTAAGCTTGAAAAAATGTGCAATGAACGACTTCGTAAAATTTGGTAAAAATGATGTTTTGATCTCCTCTGATTTGGACTTCAATAACATTAATTTGAGGTTTTGTATTTAATCTCGAATAAAGCGTTAAAGCTTGAAAAAACACGTAATGAATAGCTTTGTAAAATTTGGCAGAAATGATGTTTTGATCTCCTCCAATTGTAATTTTGTACTCCAATAACGTTTGTTCGAGAATTTTGTATTTGAACTCCAATCAAACGTGTATTATTTGAATCATTTGATGAGGTGGATTTTTTTATAATCATTTGACGAGGTGGCATATCGCTCTCATGATTTGATTGGCATTTGTCTCCATAATCACGAGATGTGATTTGTAATACAAAAAATGAGGGTGATATGGAAGAACCGTACATTGCGACAACAACGCTTGAACGAATTACCATTTCGGTAAGTGCAAGTTTATTTACTTCAACTAGTAGTATCTCAAATATTTATGTTTAGTATGGTTGTTGCATGTTTAGTTGGGATTTATTGCAAAATATTATATATTTCACATTTGAGATCTGTTACTTGTGTGTAACTTACATGCTCAATTGTTTAATATGTCGAACTAGTTGTTGAGATGTGGATATGGATATTTTTGGAGACGTTGGTTGTTGTTTGTTGATAGTGATATTTTTTTAGTATATGCATATTTTAGATGTTATATATGCTGCAGAAATTGTGGTTTAATTTGTGTTCTTTATCTTTTTCAGGCTGATTTGAAGGGAGTTTATAAAAAGTGCAAGCGTGATGGAAGTGATGAAAGCTCTGCTAACTCAATTGTGATTGAAAAAGTATTAGGAAAGACTAAAGGACTTGAAGGGTTAAAGGACCATCGAGCTCAACAGGGATTGAAAAATCAAGATTTTCTTCTGCTAGACAAGAAGTGGAGGTCGAAATGAAGTTAATGCGAGAGCAAATGCAACTTAAAGATGATAAATTTGATCGACTTCAAGAAACGATGAACACCTTGCTCGAGAATTTAAGACAACACCCCCAACTACTTCTAATGATGGTAAAGTATAAAATATGGACTCTTTTTTTATGAATGACTACTATGAATACTTTTTAAGATTTTGTGTTTTTTGAATTAATGTACGTGTGCTACAATGATATTTAATTTTAATGTGAGACATCATATTTATTATGATGTTTGATGTAATATTTAATTTTTTGTTACTACAACTGATCATACATGTTTAATTTATCTTTTAAAATAATACAAAAAACTGAATTTATTATATAAAAAATAAATAAAAATACGATGAATAACATTTTCGTTGCAAAGTAATGGAATATAAGTTTGCGGCATTTTTGCATTTCGACGCAATGTCTAATCGTGTGCGACGTTAATGGTGTAAAACAGCCGCATAAGTTGTATGGAGGATTGCTACGCTTGATAAAAATATTAGTACGATAAATGTAACAAACGTCGCGAGTGTGTGCGACGATAATCCAAAAACGTCGCTACATGCATGCGACGAAATCTGTTTTTAGTGGCAATAAATAAAAACGTAATTTTTTTCGGGCGCGAAAAACGGTTGCGACTATTTACTAGAATCGTCGCAATTGTCGCGTCGAATAAAAATTTTCATCGCACGTCTTGCGGCGAGACCCTGTGCAACTTTTTGAACCTGGTTTTGCGACGATATTATATCACCGCAGTCGATCAAAATTCGTCACAACAACCTATTTTTCATCGGCAGGAAGGCATTTTGGCCTAGTGCCTAAATCCTTGGTCGGACTTCAAATTATATCCTTGAAAAAAGACCGCCTAACTTCCGCCACGGTTAAGGGATAAAATAAGAAGAGAGTATGCATATAGAAGTAGAGCTTAAGAGAATTGGTCGTTTTGCAGCTTCAGGGGAGGTGGCAGTGCCAGTGGAGCGCGACGGCGAGTGGCGGTGGAATAAATGAGAAATGGAGAATGTCGACAGGGGAGAGAAAAAAAGAAGAGAGAGAAATAGGGTTTCACGTAATCATAAATCTAAAAAAAAATAACGCGTAATGGTGAATTAGGTAAATTGCATATTAGTTTGTTAAATATTTATTTAATTAAATAATTTAGTAAATTGCATATTAATTTGTTAAATATTTATTTAATTAATTAATTTAGAGGAATTAATATGAATAATACTATATTATTAAATTTTATTATATTAGTGTACTATATTTTCTTATTATAAATTAAATTAATTATTTTTTTTAACTATTTAAATAATATCTCGTGCACGGGGAAAAATGCTAGTTTAACTAATAAAACAAGGTTAAATTACAAACACACCCTGAGGTATGGTCAAATTACAAAAAAACACCCCTCTTATTTGGATAATTACAAAAACACCCCTATTGTTTGGATATTTATATTGTTTATATGGAGTGATTTTCATAATGTCAGGTTCTGTCTTTGATAAATTGATAGTGGTTTTCAACAAATTTATAGTGGTTTTCAATAATTTTTGTACACATTTTTGTATAACTGTATACACAGAGTGGTTTTTAAGTTTACATAGTTGTTATACAGAGTGATTTTCATGTTATATAGTTGTTATACATAGTGGTTTTCATGTTTATATAGCTGTTTATACAGAGTGGTTTTCATGTTTATATAGAGTGGTTTTTATTTAAAAAAACTGGAAAGAAAATAAAAAAACCATTTTAAAAAAAAAATTGAAATTAAGAAAAAAGAAAAATCATGAAAAAACGAAAAAAAAATAAAACCATTTTTTTTAAATTAAAATAAAAAACATGAAAATATAAAATAGAAAAAAAATTAAAATAGAAAATTGAAAAAAAAAAAAAAAATAATAATAATTACAAAATTTTCTTTTAAATCGAAATAAATAAAACCATTAAACAAAATGAAAAAGAAAAGGAAAAAAACTGAATTGTCGTGATAAGGGGAATAATTTTTGGAGAAGATTTGGGTGTAGATTATGTGTATAATTTTTTTTTAAATTAAATAATTATACTAATTAATAGTTAGTGGGGGCATATATGGTTTTTCAGGCCCATTGAATTTATCTCAAATATCATTTATAAATAAAGGATTTATCAAGAATTAAAATCCCAACCAAGAATGTTTGGCATATAGCCCCTATTATTATTTATATCTAAAGAGTTATCGGGGGAAAAAAACTAGGGCTACAATTACGACGATTAGAGAGAGAGAGAGTAAGAGGAGAGAGAGAGAGAGAGATGAGGGATAGTGATATCCTGCTGGCGATGAAAGGTATATATGTTCACGGGGAATACGATGCTACACCTGGTGATTTTCACTGGGTGGCTCTTTTCTTGACATGTGTCATTTTTTATTTATTTTATAATTATATTCTAAAAACCCATTGGACCATAACTGAACCCGTAGTGAGAATCTTATTAATTAGGGTGCCTGGTTATATTCACCAGGTGTAGCATAGAATTTCCCATATGTTCACCGCGAAGACACCGAGTCCGATGAAAAGGAGTTCAAGCGGGAGATAAATGACATCATTATACGCCTCAATAGATTGCTATTAGATATGGAGGAGGAACCCGATAAAGAGTTGGCCGAAAAACTCAAGTCCAGAATCAATAAAATACTTGGACACCTCAACAAATTGCTTCTAGACGATTCCGGATCCGACTCCGAATCCGAACCCGAACCCGAATACGAACCCGAATCGGACTCCGAATTCGATAAGTTTCTCGAAGTCGAACGGGAGCTTGAACGGAAAATCGAACCGATTGAAGAACTGAGTCTGGAAACGGAGGATCCGTATAGGCTGAAACGCCCCAAGACTATATATTCAATTATTGCAATGTTGTGTATGAAGTACACGTCCTTTGGGTTTTGTGTTATCAAAATTCATGTTCAAAAAGCTTTGGTCTGCATGCTTTTCACTAGCATTTAACACGTATAATTTTCTTCCATTTGCAGATTCTCAAGGTTTAGGGAAGCTAATATGCGTATGGAATGTTAAGTTGTGTTTGTTTTTCATGTAAATTGATTGTGAACAACTTTTGTCTTTGCTTTTTGTCTAGAATGGATTTGTATATGTCAAAATGCTAAACTTATTTATGTCAGTTTACCTATGAATTATTTTTTGATCTCAATACAGTGAAAGCATGGACATTTTTCTATGTTTTTCTTGCCATGCCTCGGGATAAGGCGTGTTGG